ATAGTTTCAGGGCTACCACTCAAAATGATTACATACTTATTTTGCATAAGGGTGAACTTGATGAGCTGATTCTAAAACATATGTGAGGGTAAAAAACTAGAATAGTAAAAAAGTACCTGAAGAAGAACAAGGCAAACATTTTGAGTACCTTCTCAGACTACAACAGATTAAAACTAGAAATCAATAACAAGCAAAACTCTGGAGACTATAGAAATACATAAAAATTAAACAACATGCTCCTGAACAACATATGGGTCCAGGAAGAAACTGAACAAGAAATAAAAAAAAAAATTCTAGAAACTAATAAAATAAAGACACATCATACCAAAACCTGTGTGATGCTGCAAAAGCAGTACTAAGAGGGAAGTTTGTTAAAGTAAGTGCTTACATCAAAAGAATAGAAAGATTTCAAATAAACAACTTAATGCTATACCTGAAAGAACTAGAAAAACAAGAACAATCCAATCCCAAAACCACTAGATGGAAAAAAATAATTAAGATTAGAGCAGAACTAAATAAAATAAAAACATAAAAAATTCAAAAGACCAAGGAAACCAAAAATATTTTTTTGAGAAGATAAACAAAATAGAAAAACCACTAATTAGGCTAACTAAAAAAAGAAGAAAGAAGACACAAATAACAAAAATTAGAAATGAAAAAGGAGACATTACAACTGATACCACAGAAAAACAAAGAATCATTAGAAGTTATCATAAATAACTATACACCAACACATTTGAAAACCTGGAGGAAACGGATGTTTCTGGACACATACAAACTACCAAGACTGAGCCAAAAAGAAACAGAAAACCTGAACAGACCAATAACAAGCAACAAGATTGAAACAGGAATCAGCAGTCTCCCAACAAAGAAAAGCCCAGGACCATATGGCATTACTGCTGAATTCCACTAAACTGTCAAAGAGAAATTAATACTAATTCTCTTCAAACTATTCCAAAAAATTAAAGCAGAGGCCATTCACCCAAACTCATTCTATGAGGCCAGCATCACTCTGATACTAAAACCAAAGATACAACGAAAAGAGAAAACTATAGGCCAATACCTCTGATGAACATAAACACAAAAATCTTCAATAAAATACTAGCAAATAGAATACAGTAACACATTAGAAAAAGTATGCACCACAATCAAATAGGACTCATCCCAGGGATGCAAGGATGGTTCAATATATGCAAGACAAGAAATGTGATACACCGCATCAACAAAATCAAGGACAAAATCATATGATTAATCGCAATAAACACAGAAAAAGCATTTGACAAAATGCAACATCCCTTCATGATAAAGACTCTTGGCAAATTAGGTATAGAAGGAAAGTATCTCAACACAATAAAAGCCATATACAACAAACCCACCACCAATATCATCCTGAATGGGGAAAACCTGAAGGTTTTTCCCTTTGAATGGAAACATAACAAGGATACCCATTCTCACCACTCATATTTAATATAGTGTTAGAAGTACTAACCAGAGAAGACAAACAAGAGAAAGAACAACAAATCACTGTTGAAAGAAATTGAAGGGGATACAAAAAGATGGAAAGACATTACATGCTCTTGGATTGGAAGAATTAAAATTTTCTGTGTGATAGCCCAGAAAAAGAAGCCTCAGGCCCTAGAAAGTCCTCTACTCCTTCCTGAAAGTTCATAGATACTAATTTTATATTAAAATTAGCAAACAAAATAGACCATGGTTGAATGTCATACAAAGTTTTAGCAACAAAAAGAGAAATAAGATGCAAAATAATATCCTTGCAGTAAAAGCATGCCAGAAAGACATGCCTAGCAAAGGGATATCCTTATATTTCAAATTGAGCTAAAAGAAATTAAGAGAATGATACAGATATGAAGGAACAACATAGACCACAATTAGGAAAACTCAGAATTGCAATGATTGAATCCAAGAAAGAGTGAGAAATAAAAGAAAACATAATTTTTTTTTTTTGTCTTTTGTCTTTTTTCTGTGTCCGGCAATGGATCACAACCCTCAGTGTTGCCCCCGTACCGGACCGGGGAC